TTTTTCTTAAAGCACCAAGAGCAGTTTCATAGGCAAAATTTTGAAATAGAAAATATTTTTTTCTTAATTTTGCCGATACACATTCCGGACTTGCCCCCCTGTTAATTCAAATCATGTGCCAAAATCCTAATCTATTACGTAGATAATAAACATAATTGGCTAGAATTTATATTTAGAGTTTTAAATGCTTATTAGTTTGGGATTTTAGTTACGCAAAGTCCCAAACTAGTTTGGCCAAACGCTGAAACTACCGGGTTTGGTTTACATCTCTAGCAACATTTTCAGGATGCAATTGCGATCTCTGACTCAATATAATTATAAATTATTTAATAAACTCTCGCATCTAATTGACAAATATGTCTATCTGATCTGATACTAAACTGTTCTATTCGATCCTAGACCAATATTTGATTGGCTGTGATAATTCCTTAATGGAAGTATTTACCGTTCCTGACATGTGGTAACGATAATCAGATCCCCTGAAGGAACAGAAAGATAGCATATTTGTAACTTTTGCAATGCGAAATAATAAAGACCAATTAAAAAAAAATTGGTGGTTTATGTTTAGTAATATAAAAAGTACATCAAACCAGTTTTTAATACGTAGTCAAATAAAAAACGAGAATTAATCAAAATTTTAATGATAATTATTTACGCAAATATCTAAATAATTTGTTTGCACAAATTCTATATTACCATTCTTGCAAAATTAATTATTAGTAATTAATAACTTTTTGTGGAATTGTACGTACCGGTACATACTTATTGAGTACATCCTTTAAATCACATATATAAATACGAAAAAAAGAAACAATTGATATACTGGGAAAGACCAATGTTTAGGTCTACATTACTTTTATTTAACACACTATATACAGAAAGAAACTTTTTATACCTATTTTCCAAATATTAGTTCTGTAAGCGATTTTACGTATTAAAGAAAAACTAATATGCAAATCTTAATTTGGTATTTATTAATGATTAACTTTTGATAGCTTTATTTATTTTCAAGTTATTATGTCGTTATCCTTGACCCACAGCATCAAGAATGATGAGCCATCCTTTAAAGACATGGTCTACAATTATGATTGGTCATCGACTTTGCTTGGCCCTATGGATTTATGGGATCCTGCAATTAAAAATGCTGTGGTAATTACAATAATGTTTTGTTATCTAAGAAAAAATAAAGTGTGAACTAATAACATCATAAAAAATTACATTTATAAAATGTTAGAATTTGTGCCTCAATTCTGGGCTTCCAATGGGTCTCGTAATCGGTTCTCCTCATTGGACCTTAATATATAATGAAGGTAAAGATTTTAGAACTTTTTTAATCTATTTGATTAAATCTTTAACCCTATTCACTCTATAGCTTGGATACCAAGATTAAAAGCGAGACATCCATTCGGTTAGTTACACAAATTATAGATATATGTTTATAATAAACTTTTCAAACTTGACTTCCTTATCATTACTAAATAGCATTTGGAAAACAACTTGACCAAGTTTGGCCTGAAGCATATGATCTCCTTTTCTTCCGATATGAAAAGTAAGGTGTGTAATTATTGTAAAAAAACAATTTTTATTCATAGTAACTTAATCACTTGAATTACAATATATGCAGTGTAAAAACAACCGGCAAAGGTCAAATTTTTATTGATAAATATGAATTACAACGTGATGGATATAAAGAAGCAGCCTACGCGAAATATACAATGAGTCCAATTTTCAAATCAGATGGCACGGTTTGCGCTATAATGTCCGTGTTACAAGAAAATACACAAAATTTTTTAAATGCCCGAAGGTTAAAAACACTTAGTGAATTTGGTTTTCAGATTTCTGGTTAGTAGTAATCGTACAATTTTTATAAATGTGAATTTTATCTATTAATTTTATAATATTTCTTAAAGAAATTAAGTCTTTAGAAAGTGCCTGTCGTATTGTTACAAATATATTAAGTAATAGTGTTGATATTCCTTATACATTGATTTACTTTGTCAATTATAAATCAAATACTACTGAACCTCTAATCGCCCGTCTGATCGCTAGAACCTTTGATGAAGATGGTAAAAAAGAATGCCAGATTCCCGATTATTTACCAGATTCTCCCGAAATAGTTTACTTAGCTAAAGAGGCTAATAATAGTTACAACACATACGTAGAAATAAAACGAGCAGATACAACTTATTCTTTCTTGAAATGTGATTCTTGGCCAATTAACCTTGTAATAAAGGAAGGGAAACATATTAAAGTCCTTTTAAAAGATGAATCCCAAGCTTTTCTCATATCAACAAAAATTTCTCTTTCCGAAGGGCAAGCTCTGTCGGTTATATTGATTTATGGCATTAATCGATTTCGCACACTTGATGAGCAATATATAAAATTTTTACAAGTATGCAAAATTTTATTAATAAATATTCATTAATTTCGTTCATATTATTAAAAAAATTATTAAATATGTTATAATTTTTTTAGTTAATCACAAAAAATGTTAATACATATTTACTACATGGGATTAAAACAGATGAGGAAAAAAAACGATCTAAAATGTTGGCTGATTTAAATTACCAAAAAGTCGTGTTTTTTCAAGGCATTAGTCACGAACTAAAAAGTATTTATTTACATATAACAATAAATGCTCTTTAGAAATATATTGTATTAATTTTTTGTTTATATACAATAATAGCACCATTAACCTTAATGCTTTCGCCACTTGACGATGTAATTAATATATGTACACAAGAGTCAATAATGCCATATCTTCAAACTATTCGACGTAACGCTCATCGATTGCTTAAACTTATTAATTCTTTATTACAAGTAAGTTATACCATATTGAAATTAATCCCAATAATAGTTTTGGAATTATTATATTAAAGAATTCACTTTATTATACAGTTTTCAAATATGGAAACTGATAAATTTGAAGCACATTATCGTGAAACGAACATAGTTGAACTTACTCAAGAATTAGCTTTGGACTTTAAATTTATGGCTAAAAAATTAGGCTTAGATTTTAATATTAAAATTCCACATCCAGAAGAATTTAACCAAACAATGGGCGATAAGATTTACTTGGATCATGATATATACGAAACAATCATATTTAATCTTTGTAAGCATTTCTAAAAATGTGTTAAGATATTTTTTCCAAATTTTTGTTTATGGAATCACATTCATTAGATATTTATTAAGAGATTTGGTTTTAAAGGTTCGAACGCATTAAAATATACTTGGAATGGAAGCATAACGATTCGCTTATATTTTGACTACAAAGACAATCAAAAGATGGTAGTACTTGAGGTTTCAGATACAGGTTAATAATATTCCTCAATAGACTTAACTTGGAATCTATACACTTGCTACTACTTCCAGATTAATTTTTTTTTAATACTTTAATTAGGTGTTGGCATTCCGAAAATCTCCCTTCCAAATATATTTCAACGTTTTTATCGTGTAGAATCTCAAGGGCGTAGTCATGAAGGTACAGGAATCGGGCTTGCACTTGTTAAAGAACTTATTACACGCCAAGGTGGTGATATTACTGTATCTTCAAAAGTAAATCACGGAACGACTTTTAAATGCTGGTTTCCAATAAGATTTGAACATTTGCCGCAAAATCAAATATACTTTAATAAAATTGAAAATCCAATAAATCGTGATCAGGAATTATACACTAATCGACAGCTTAATTTAGAAGAAAGTTCTCAATTGATAAACAATAGTCTAGATATTATGATGTCTAAAGTGTCACTCGATGACAAAAACACTGATAATGATACTAATAAAAAATTGATAATGGATATTAATCTTATTAATAATGAAAAATATCAAGTCTTAGTTGTTGATGACAATAATGATATGCGGTAATTATTTTATTCGATCAAGTTGGAATTTAATTATACATTTAAAATATGTTTCTTACCATTAGCCATTAATATTTTTATAGAAATCATCTGGCGGATCTTTTAAAAGAATTTATCGTGCATCGTGCTCGTGACGGCAAAGATGCTTTACGAGTCTTAAACCAGCTTAACAAATTACCTGATTTAATCCTTAGCGGCAAGTAATTATATAATCTCAATATTTTTCGATCATTTTACATTAATTATTAAATATTTGAATTTAACAGATGTCATGATGCCAAATATGAATGGATATGAGTTATTAGATGTGTTAAGATCCAATGAAAAAACTCAACTAATTCCCATAATATTATTATCTGCAAAAGCTAGTGAAAATTCTAAAGTCACGGGTAATTTAATTGAATGATTTGATTATTAATAGTGCCTTTTATTTTCTTATCAGCAATGTATTTTACTTTTAGGTCTGGATAAAGGAGCAGATGACTATTTAGTAAAACCATTTTCTGCTCGAGAGTTAATTACCCGTATTCGGTCTAATATTAAGCTCTCACTTATTCGGCGTGAAATATTATTTCAAAGATTTGAACAAGAAAAAACAAAACAATTACTACTTTCAATATCGAATATGAATCTTTTCGAATCAGATCTAAATGAAAGGTTACTATATGTCATCAAAGAAATCTATCAAAGATTACCATGTGAAAGAATATTTATTATTTCAAAAGAACGATCTAAATCTAATAATAATATAGTTGCTTTTTATGAAAACTCGGAAAATATAACACGAATGATTAATCCATTCATGGAAATTAATAATAGAAAGAAATCTCAAATATTCTCTAAATTACAAGAATATTTAAATAATAACTCGGGAATAGATATTTCCTTGGATGAATATAGTGATGTTGCTCTTAAAAATGTATCAGTATTATCAGCGAAAATAATGTTGAATAATGGCTTTTGGGGATGTATTAAAGTGCATAGGTCTCCGAATTCTATTTGGCTTGATTCAGAAATAGAATTATTCCAACAAATATCGGATCAAATAAGTTTAGCTATTACTTACACAACATTATTAGAAGAGAATGCCGAAAAAGAAATTCAAATAAAAGCTGCTGAAGTTGCCAATATTACTAAGAATCAAATATTAGCCAATATTTCTCATGGTATATTATTGTTCTTTGCGTACACTACTAAATTTTTTATCATTGCTAATTAATCTCATTTTATCATAGAATTACGAACCCCATTAAATGCAATGGTGGGTATCCTTTCTTCCTTTGATAGGTCCACCGTTACAGCTGGTCAAAGCGACATGATTGATATCATGACATGCACATCTGATATAGTGATATCTATTGTAAATGAAATTGTTAATGCAGCAAAGTTAGAAGAACAAAAAGTCATTTTAATAAATAAAACATTTGATTTATTAGAATTATTTGAGAATACTATTGAAGAATTTGAAAAGCAGGCTGGAGATAAAAATATTGAGCTAATTATGAATGTTGAAATTGAAGCTATACCGAGATATGTTAAGAGTGATTCTGAAAGGTAATTAAACTAATAGTTAATAAATTTTAAAGAATACGAAATTTTATTACTTATACAATCTCTTATAATGTAGACTTAAAAAAGTTTTATCGAGTTTATTATCTAATTTGTAATTGTTATTTCATTTATTTATTGACTTTTCTTTCATAGCCTATTGAAAATAATAAAATAATTCATTATTATTTTTTTAGGGTTAAATTTACCGATCATGGTAAAATTATATTAACACTTTCCACGCAATCACAAGTTAATGATGAAATAATAGGAGGTCAAATTGTTAAAAAAGAAAATCTATTGATTGAATTGTATAATACTGGCATGAAGTAAGCTATTTATGTTAATTCATATTTTATAGTAAATTTCAAATATATAATCTATAATTCATTAAATAATAGTATTGATCCGGAATATCCAAGGAAAAATTTTTCGCAAGGTGACATGTCAGAAATTAAAAAACAAGATGATACAGAACTTGCCCTCTCAATTTGTAAAAGTCTTGTAGAACTTAACGGAGGAGAAATTAATGTAGAAAGTAAATTGGGAAATGGAAGTAAATTTTGGTTTACGTGGAATGTTGAGACATTATCAATAAGTAACTCATTATTAGGAACTCAATACGATGAGTTAATAAGTAATTATAAGACAAGAGAGAATACTGATAATTCACCCAGTTGAGGATGTGAGAAATGCAATGCTGAAATATCTTAAAATAATTGAAAAAGTTGATGTATTCGATACCTTTGATGAAGGTATTAGAGCAGCAAGAAGATATAAAGAATTGCATAATCGACTTGCTTATGATATAGTATTTATTAGCCTTTATGAAAATAACTATGAAGAGGTCTTGAATGCATCATTAAAATTAAGAGGATTAGAAATTAATAGCAAGAATTTATTAATAATATTTATAGTATTGCCGAATAATGAAGGATATAATTTGGCAAAAAAATTAATCGAAAAAGTTGAAGGGGCAACTTCAATCCTTTATACACCAATTACATTAAAAAAATTAATTAATCAATTTACGAATATCGATATTGAAAAAAGATGATATTAATAACAAAAATAATAAATGTCATTTAATCCAAAAACGTTATATATCTTTTTTGAAGTTGATTGTGTCGTTAATATGGTTTAATTTATATGATTGACTTCGTCACCCAGTTCTTATCATTATTAAATGATTATTGCTTATAAAATGTTTTAAGAAGAATAAATTAACGACCCTTAAGAAATGACACAGAGCAGTAACAACCTAATGTCTTTGAATTCAATTCATTCACTTTAATTTAGTCAGTGAGTATAGAGATAATTTATTAATCAGCGAAATTAAATAAATTAAATCAACAAATCATTAACGTAAATATTTATTTGCCTAATGCTCTTCAAATCATTTCATTCACTTTAATTTAGTTGGTGAATATATGATGATTTATTAAATCATGAACACAAATACTTATTACCTAATACCTTCAAAATCATTCATTGTTGTGATATGACTGTTTTGGAATAGGCTATATGTTTGAGTTAAACCAGTTTTTTGGTATATGTTTGAGTTGTAGGCAAGTATTCATGATTTCTAATAAAGCAGAAAGTGCTACTTCAGGAAGTTATCAGAGCATTTCATTTGATACTTGAAATGGTCCTAGAGCTTTGTTATGCAGTGATGTTTTGATTATATTCTGTAATTCCTCTATTGTAATTGCTACTATAAGATTGTTATAAATAGAAAGCAATATATTTTCTATTGGTTTATAGTATGTTTTCTATGTGTGCTATAGATCTTCATTAGACAGATTGTATTTAGTCTAGTTTGCAAAGTGTTTGCTAGTATATTTCTTTATATCTCTTGGTTCTGTAATTATTTTTTCTGGTGTAATAATTTTTTGAAAGTCTACTTTTTGTTTATTTTGTTTTAAGATGCTATCTATTATTTTTGTCATATTATTCTAAAAGTCATTATATTTTTTGTTCACAAAGAATTTTATTCTCTCTGTTTGCTTAAGATTCAGTTCCAAATTTCTTGCTCTCCATAGTTCTTCTCTTTTTCTGTACAAATTTGCTTTAAGTAATGAGTTTGGTATTGTAAAGTCAATATCATTTATAAGAGGAATATTTTGATCTGTTAATTTGTTTACTCTTTCTATATGTTTGTTTATCTTTTGTATAGTACTTTGAATTGATATTAGTATACTTGCTAGTTGCTATGTATGTTGAGCTTTTTTTACGTGAGTTAGTGCTTGATGTAATTAAGTTGCTTTTAGTGAGAGTGCATAAAATTGTTTGCTAGTACTATATGAGAATAGAATGTGTTTGTTTGCTGCTTGTTTAACTATATTGATCTATTTGTTTCAGACTTTATTTAGCATTGATATATTATTTATAGTCTCATTGCTAACTTTTTTTTGCATCTTATTGTTGATTAGAGTTCTGAATTCTTCCTATTGTTCTTTCATTGCTTTATCATAATTATAGAATTTGTGTCTACACTTTTTCTAGCATTTTTGTCTTGTAGTAAAATTTGTATACCAAGTAGTCACTAATATACAATAATCACTATTTGTGATATTATAAAGATTGATTAGCTCTGATATCTCTATATCAAGAGTAAATTCAGGAGTAGTTCAAATATCATCAATTTGACTTGATAGTTAACCTCATTGCTATGTAGGAGCTAAGATATTATGAAATTGTAGCAGACTATTTAGACTTAGTGTTTCTAAATACGTAAATAGGATTTTGTATTTGTTTTTTAAGAGGTGGTTAGCATTGAAATTACCCATAATTATATATTGCCAGTTTCTTGTTTTTGTTTCTGTTATCCATGAGTTAATAACTCTTTGTATGCTGAGTGCTAACTCTGAGTAGTTTGTTGGAATATAGATTGAAGTAAATCTTATTTTGTTGTTTCTAGAAAACCAGAAGTCAACAAATATTACTGTACCAGGAAAATTTCCAGTATTGTTTATATATAGGCTAATTGATGTATGTATTGTACAGACAGTTCCCAGAGAAACTTTATGCTGAGTATTGTTTTTCAGTATAAAATTAGATGAGAAGATTTTGTATAGTAGGTTAGTTAATATTGTTGAACCTTCTGTTTTAAGTTTAGTTTGTATTATTGAAACTATATAGAATTGTTTTTTTTTACAATATATTAGCCAGTTATGTAGTTTTAGTCTATTGTTTAATCCTTGTATGTTGAGTATTGCAAAGTTGATTTTTTTAGGAGTATTTTTCTTAATCATATTTGTTATTTTCTATGCTAATTTCTATTGATATATCAGTTTGGATATGTTGTAAGTTATTGTTGTCAAAGATCTCCTAACTAGGTTCTGGAAGGTCTAATAGGTCAAAAATAAATAGAGAAAATATTTGAAAAATAAAGTGTATATGTAAAAGTTCTGTAACCTCAAGTACTTCTTCATGTTTTGTAATTGGAAAGTTGAGATGTACTAGTTCTTCTATTTGTTTAGCAGCTATTATGAATTGTTCTAGTATATTAGGCATTCTTTGAAGACCTTTAGCTAGATTGTTGTTAGCATTTTTAATTTGAATCTAATTTTTTGGGATCTTCTTGAAGTAGTAGTGTTTTCTGAAATCTTTAACTATGATACTGAGTTGCCTAGGTGTAGTGATAGAGATAGTTAAATTAACCCTATAAACCTGTGAATACTTCTTTAGCAAATTTGGTAGATCAGTAGAGTTTATAGTCCTATAGCTAAATAGAAATGATGCAAGTATTTAATATGTTGGAGGAATTTCATTGATGAATACTCGAGCAGTTGCTTTATCTTCTATTAAAAATATATATTTTTTTCTAATAGTAATTTGTTTGGATCATTTAGTAGATGATGTCTTTGTATAATATAATCATTTAGTAATCTTACAAAAGTATAGCTTTCTTTTAAGAGATGCATATACTCTTTGAAGTCTTCATTATTTTTTGGGAGGAATAGAAATATTTCTCTCAGATGTAGTATTAGCTCTTGTGGAGTATAAGAAAGTTTTTGTTTTGGAGGTGGAAGGTCAAAATATGTATCTGGAATACAATATACAATATATATTTTTTGTAATTTCTCTTTATATTTTGAAAGAGATTTTAGTTCTGAATAGGAAGTTATTAGAAAAAGGTCTCTTAGAGATTCATCAAGTAAGAATGGTGAGTCTGGAAATAGTAGATGCTTATTATCAAAATAATCTTCATTATACGAATAAAGATATAAGCTAATCTTAATACTTTTGTAATTATATCTGCTTGTCTTTTATTCTTGCTAGGAAGTGTAAAAGGAATAGCTTTACGAATTTCACTGTTTATAAGATTTAGAGCAGATGGTAGTAGCAAAAGGAGGTATTTTTTTTCAGCCTTAATTATGCTTAGTATATTTTCAAATTTAGCTCTATTTGAATTTTTGCAAAGTTAATAAAGTAGAGGATGTATCGTGTTGTTTCATATATATCTGATCGAACCAGATCTAAGTTTAAGAGAGTATCTAAGAAGAGCTTTGTTCAAAGCTTTATAAAGATTTAGTCACGATTCTTTTTGTTTGTAATACAAATATTATACTGTTTCTTGTATGACTCTAAGACATTATGTATGAGTGATTCAAACTCTAGTTGGTATGCTAGGTAAGCTGCAGCAGTTTGTATAAAGGAATAAAAGAAAGCTATGTCTCAGTATTCAAATTTCTTTTTAATTACATATAGGATATTAATATTTGTTAGTAGAATACTTAGCTTATATTTAACTAGTTCTTTTAGAGAGTCTAGTATTGTAAGGAAGCTAACAATTTTGTCTAGTAGCCATATTTATGCATCATATGTATTAAGTTGTTTTTTTCTAATATCAGATAGGCTCTCCCTAAATTGTTGTACCTACATATTTCTAATATCAGTTCTATTATGAGTTGTTGTTTGTCTTTGCAGACTACAAGAAGTGACTTGGCTATATGAAGGATAAGGATTTTTAATATTTTCAATTGTATTAACTGAACTAGTTTTCGATATGTGATCATTCTGTTCATTGAGTGAAGATCTACTTTCTATTTTAGTTAGTTAAGTTACTTAATCCTTGCTAGATATGTCAGTTAACTCTGCATTGAGCATGAGAAAATTGATACTAGTTTCTTTTCTTTTTTTAGTTGTTATTTGATGCAACTGATCCCAATTTGTATTTGTTGTATTTTGGCTTGCAGATGGTATAATAGTATTAGAATTTTTAGAGAGGGAGGCATCACCACTTTGTTGCATTAAAATATCATCTTCGACTTGTATTTCAGTTTGTATACTATTAGTACTATCTGATGAGGTAGAATTTTTTCTTTATTTCTTACTAGTTTGTGTTTGTTATTAAGATATATTTTATGAGCTAGTAGTTTTGTGAATAGAGTAAACTAGCTTTTTGTTATTTTGTTTTGTTGCCGAACTAGTTAGCAACAAGTTTTTGGCAAGTTCTAGCAGAGCAGAGATGTTGTTGTGTATTCTCTTAATATTGCCTAGTTGTAGTTGTAATAAAGCTCATCTTTGTATAGAGTAATAGTTACTTATTTATTATCTACTTGTTGTATATTCGTTTAATATTTGTTGTTTATTTATTTTTATATATAAACTCAGAGGTGCAGGAAAAAGTTTAATTAGCTTTTTAGTATAGAATATTAATATATTATACAATTAGGTAATTATATTATAATTTATTAGATTAATTCATTTACTTAAATTTATTAATATAAAACTTTAGTGAAGCTACAGATTTCAGTTATTCTACAAAATAAGTAGTATTAGTCTTTACTATGCAATTTGAATCATCAAAAAAAATCAAAGTATAACTCTACTGTAATATAATATTTGAATTTTAAATAATATAATATTTTTATATAATGAAATATGTAATTTGATAAATTTATTGTTATATAATATTATATTACAAAACTACTAAATAAAAACTTTGTTACAGTATATTTTAGAAGTAATTCTTAGACAGAATAAAAATTCTTAAAACTTTAAGCAAAAATATTTTGATAATTAAATGACTATATTCAATTAAAGTTTTTT